TCTCTTGCTTGTGCACACACTGAAAATTTTTGTCAGGTTTATATCAAGATGGCCAAATTTTCTCTTAAGACTACTCACTAGTGTTCTTTCTAATTTACAGATGGGGAAAGCACCCTGAGAAGCAAAATGACAACACAGGTAACAGAACAGAAGCACAACTCCCCTTAGCAGCCATGCCCTGTCATGATGGCTTCCTCCAAAGTACTGTCACTGTGAGAATCACTGTCCTTCCATTCAGTGCCACTTTGGAAAAAACTCTTTAAAACATGACATTAAAAAAATCCTGATGCTAACCCAACACAAACTGGTTTATTTGGAGCATGCTACTTAATTTTAATGATAATTTATTCCACTGTGAGGTTTAGCCACCAGTAGACATTTTGTGAAAATGAAACCATGAGCAAAAGTTTCCATGAAGATAAAGCACATGACAAGTCACTGAGTGAAACTGTGCATTACATGATAAAAATAAATGCAAAACTACATATATACACCAAATCTACATGTCCATACTGAAAAAATATTTACCAAGAAGGAAATTTGTGCTTCCCCCATACTATAACAATGCACCCAAAGCCTGGATTTTCTCCTACATTCATTTTAAGCTTCTTAACTGATGGAGGAGTGTAGGGAAGGCTGGGCTCCATGACGGCTTTGATGAATGGAGATGAGCGATCTCTGAAGGCTGCTCTTAGAATATAATGTTTATTAGGGATGGTGAAAGGTCTTGCTTGGAGCTGCCAGACGCAGCACGTGGCAAGGCCTGAGGGGATCGGGGAGGGGAGAGACAAGGGGTAGAGAGGATGCTCTAGGAGAGGGTGGAAGTTCCAAGAGAGCGGGGATTCCAAGAGAGGGGAAGATCCAAGAGAGGGGAAGATCCAAGAGAGCATCTGGCCCATCGGAGACCCCTTATCAGGGGGCTTCAAGGTGGGCTGGAACAGGACTTGGGCCAATGGGGTCACAGACACCCAGGAGGGTTACAGGTGTGGGGTGAACCATACATTCTGGGGGGTTGAGATGGAACAGTCCATTTGACTTTTGGACCCATCTGTAGGTAAGGGTATTGTCCAGCCAGTAGGGGGGATTGTTTTCATCCTGGCTGTACTATTGTGAATCTTTTGCCAGGCAATTATATTTATCCATCATTTCCAACAGAGGAGTAGGCCAAAGGCAAAATCCATACCCAAACTATGTGATAAGAAGTTAAACTCCAACCCAACTTAGCAGTATTGTATTTTCTCAGTTTTTTGGGTATGTGGTGATATCCAAATCTTAAAACTTTTCATCCTTCCCTGGGCCAGCTTAGCTTTAATGGAAACTCAAACAATAAATTCACAGAATGAAGGAAAAAGACCATTTTGCTAATGAGGACACTGAGAACACACAGCCCTAACTCTTTTGTCCAGTACAATCACCTTTCAAGCTCAGTGTGCCTTGGTTTCTCCACCTGCACAATGCTAACAACACTTGTGCTCCAATTCATTATCTACTCATATCCTGGAAATGCTTTTGTTAGAAATAACTTTTAAAATTATAATACAGTCAATTTTAAATTTTTATTTAGTTACTTTCTTACTCAAAGCACATGTCCCTGTAACAGTTTGAGAACTTTAGTATGATACTTTACATGGGAAAAAAAGGCTAATATTAAAAAGAAATAAGAGCTAGCACTTTACTAACGGCTACATGATCCTTTCACTACAAACTTTGACCTAGTTCTTGCGGTGTGGTCTTTATCAGCAGCAAGTCCCAGAAGTTGTAATTTAAATTTCTTTACACTATTTATCATTCTAACCAGGATTCAATCAATTAAAGTCATTGCAATTCATACTTTACATACAGGATATTAATAAAGTTGTGAATGAATGTATTGTTTGGAAAGCCTGAAGGAAAAGCTGGAAAGTCAACTAATATCTTGCCTGAGGCTTCCATAGAGACAGACACAATAGTTATGACACTCCTGTGGTATGTGTGCCATGAACTCGTGGGCACTAGAAAAGTTTTTTCAAATTTAAAATCTTTCATGATTCAACATACTCAATCTTCTGTTCTGGCTATACATTTAAGGAGATTGAACAAGTCAGAGTCACAGAGCTAAGTATTTTTAAACAAGGGCTGAGGAAGCATGCTCTGCACTCTGCAGCCCTTGGAGCTGCTATTTACAGTCCTAGGGTCAGTTGTCTAGAACTTACCGAAGGCTCTGGCACAGAGGCAGGGAACCTCTCAGCAACTAGAGCAGAAGCAGTATGTCCCTCTGCCCCACAGCTTACCTAAAACAAGAACCCCTGATTCTGGAAAAGAACCACATTTCCTAGGACAGAGACTGTCACAGGGGTTGCATATTAGCACAGCTCACCACAGGCAAACAGCTCTATGCAGAACTAAAACCAGATCTCCATCTGGTATACTGCACTTGCCTACAGGTGCTCCTAGGCCTTCCTCCACACTTATCATGTTTTCTGTGCCACAGGATTCTGTGCTGTTTTTTTCAGAAAGTTTTTGGGAAAACAATGCATTTGTCCTTGCGAGCAGAGTGGAACTGTGGAAAAGCAACGGATGGTGACCACATTTAAAGTTGTTCAGCCCATAACCTCATGGCTTCTCATCCCAGGATGCCCTAGCTCCTGAGAAACTGGGCCATGAAAAGTGGGAAGGCTGATTAATACATGGTAAGAGACTGAAGCTAGCTTATGTTTACAGCAAAAATATCACCATAGGGAAAGAACAAAGTGAACTTTAAGAGTGAGAGGGATGACAGAGACTAAACTGGGAGAGGTAATGGTGAATCAGTATCCTGGCATTATGCAATCTTGTTCTTTGAGCTCTTTGTAGGAAAGAAAAATAGAAACCTTAACATGGTGGAAAGAAAATTACACAAATTCTTATGGCACTTAAGGAGATCCAAATTGTTATGGAGAGTTAGCTATTCAGATGGATTAGGGACGGGTTAACACTGACAGCCACTTCAGTCCCTTGCAACAAAAAGGCAAGGTCCCATGGACAGCAACATTATCCCAGCACCACAGGCTGGCAGGATGGCACAAAGCACCACAACATTCAGCTCTTACCATGGCCAGCACAGATTAAGAGATAGAATTGTGAGAGGAGGTATTTGATTTGAGTCCCCCCAAAAATGCAGCAAATCCCTAGTGCCTACCAGGTAGTCCTGCCCCACCTGAGAAACAGGCCACTCTTCCCTGCAGCACCAGTGGCCAATTTTACCATGGCAGTTCTTGAGGTCAGGCAACTTCTTGCTTGGCAAGACCCATGACTGCTGCTGCTCGCCTCTTCAAGCCTGGGTTTGTAACCAGAAGCACCTGAAACAGTTTTCTGCGGCAAACACTTATCTAAGGGAATTGTTTTGGCAGTCAGAGCCTTAGGCACATTCCTATTGTTCCTATGCCTTACTGCAGGCTGCTGAAACCCCACTGGGACAAACCAAGCAAGCTCAGCACAATCACCATCTGAACTCCAGCACAATCAGTGGAGCAGAAATGGATGGGTCTCAGCAGGCCATCTCTCCACTCCCAGAGCAAGATAAGGGCAGAGGGAAAATCCTGGGTTCAGAGGAAGAGCACAAACTAGCTGAACAAAATTTAGCTGATAGGAAATAGGAGTGATGATGTGTTGTAGAAGATCAAAACTAAACTGAAAGTAAGTCCAAGGCTTTATTATCTGATGGAAGATCCTGCTTCTTTTGTCCACAAGAGGAACGAGGACTTGTCACTGTTGTTGCATATGTTGTTCCTCAGTCATTTTCTGAGCAGATCAGAACTGTACTGGTTGCATTAAGGACACATTAAGGTAACAGTCATGAGTCTTCAAAACACCAGTGAAAAACCTAAAATTGTGAATACCTTCAAATAAAAACAAAGCCATGTTCTTTGCACCAATCAGTAATACACTGTACTGGAAACAGGACTGAGTCCTTCGAAGTTCAAAATATCAAGGTTACTCCTACCCTTTTAGCTTGATGACAGGAAAAAGAAAAGCAATTCCAGAAAGTTTGCGGTGTCCAGCAAGTGACAGAACTCTTGGCGTACTTCACCATGTCTCCACCACACCAGGTCAACTGAGAGACCAGTGTCCCTTCTCAGAGTTCCAGTGCTGTAGCACTGTGCATCCTCCTGTCCTGCTGATGCACAGTGACACAACTAAGTTTCCACTGGGTGCTGCAGAAACAGTCTTGCCTACCAATGTCAGCTGTGCTGGAGGAGCAAAATTAAGCCCTATAAGGACACCACTAAAAATAATCAAGTTTAGTTCTGCAATTAGAGTTGAATATAGTGAAAGCTGCAACTTTCATAAAGACAACTCATGATTAGACATGATGTCATGCATTAAAAATTTAATCCAAACAACTTGTCTGTTTCACTGCAAATAGCAAACTTGAATGTCCTGGCAAACTGTAAGGACATGATTTACAAATACTAGGTAATATTTGGATCTTGCATTATAAGCAGTGCTCCAATCTTTCTGAGAAATAAAAACTATTTCATTCTGGGCTTAGCTGGGTCATTTCAATAGACCAAAGTTTCAGAGACATAAACCATAACTGGACATATTGAGCTCAATAGATACAAACTTTTGTTTCGGTCACAGACCACACAATTAGCATCCACTCTTAATATATCCAATCACTCTGAGGCATTTTGCTTTATGGTACTGTTAAACTTCCAATCAGGACTGGCAATCTGGTCTAACCCCACAGCTTTTTGAACTCTAATGGCTGTTATTAATAATCATGTGATGTGCAGATTCTGAAAAGCAGTTTTGCTTTCTTTTCCTTAAATTCACATAACAAGTAATTGGCTACTTTTCCCAAACTGCTTTGCCCTACCACCTAACTGTTCCCCAGAGCCCTACAATGAAACTTGACCCTCTCTTAACTTTTTTTTTAATCTAAGTTTGAAAAATTTCCAAATGAATGCCATTAACTCCATGCTTTATGTGACAAGCAGCTATGACAGAGAGCAGGTCAGAGGACTGTGTACACTTACAAAGAAAACTCTTCGGATTCCAGGTGCCAGTCTTTCTGTTTTTAGCTTCCAGACCAAAGGCATAGGAGAGTTGAGAAGAAACACCAGAGGCTTCTGATGAATATGCACTGATGAAATTGGATTCAAATGTAATGTGACCTACAGAAAAACACAGAAATATGTGAATACTTCCTGGAATTTGAAACAATGAATCAAAGGTAATTTTTATATATATTATGACTTTTAACATTCAGATCTCTTGACTCAAGATTATAGATGAATCTATTTCCACAAAAGTCTCAACAGAGCACAGAGAAAATAAAATATGAAATAGTTAACATTGTGCTCTATACTTGCAAACACTGCTAAAAAGAAAACCTTGGCAAATGCTGATGAAAAATATCTTATGCAAAAGGTCAAACCACTAAGCTGAGAGTTGGAGAACAAGGAGATAAAAAGAATTGCAAAGCAAACTCTGATTTCTGGTTTCTAGATGGTAGTCTACAAAACTGGCTTAGACTATAAAACCTCATCTGCTGATTCTTTTAAGGGCATAAATCTAGCCTGCAAAACAAATAAAACTAAACAAACAAAAACCAGGAGGAACAAATCCAGAAACACAAGCGAGTATTACATTACTTCATGGAAGGAATTCCAAAAGAAATCTTAACATACACTAGGGAAAGAAAATGTCTGTGTTCAGAGGCTAAAAAGATACACAGGGTAAATTATATGAGGAAAGTGGACATCATGGAAGTAAGGCAACCTGTTATAAGTGGCTTTGAAACAACCAGTTTGTAGTTGCTGGAAGTCCCTCCTGCTCAGCTCCTCGTATCCCGGTACTGCCCTCCTAGAAAGGGATCAGTACTGGACAAAACCATAACCAAAAACACAACAGAAGAGCCTGTCATTTTTAAAGCATATACAGACTTGCAATTGATACTACAGTGGTTTTTGTGGCACCTAATAAGCTGTTTAAGCAGTCAGGATTTAGCTTGATACATATCCCACCTGGTAGGATACTTCATCCTACCCCAGACTGAGCAGGGAAGCTGATGTCCTGCCATACTGGTGGCAGACAGGTTCCCTGACAATCACAGCTCATTCTAAAAGAAGTATAGAGGAAGCAAACATGAACACAACCACCAGTCTGAGTGGTGGCAAACAGAAATAAGGACAAAGTATTAACTCAGTATTAATTCTGTATCCTGCTAGAGAATTTAAAAGGATATTTGAGATAGAGAAGAGCCATTACATATAGTTCATTGCATGATTCCTATATAGTGGCAAACAACCATTAGTTTACTAGTAAAGTAAATGGTGATTCATACAGTAAACTACCTAGATGAAAGCTAGAGACCAAATTGAAAACTAGGTACCTATTACTGTTGAAAATATTTTCCAAAATAGACAGTAGGGTGGTTTTAGTTTAGTTGGTATGGGTTTTGTGCTTTGTTTGGGGGTTTTTGGTTGGTTGGTTGGTTTTTTGCATTTTTAAATTATTTTTCCCTTTTTAATTTTATTTATTTCACCTTGAAAAGTTCACCATCATTATAAATTCAAAGTCAGGCCCTGGTCTCGGGTTGGAGATACTCAGAGGACAGCAGAAAGACCTTTTATCACTACTTAAGAACTTGCAAAAGGTTAGCAAACAGCTGGCTGTGCTCTCACACAACTGGTAGCAGTTGCTTACAACAATGCACCAGATTCTGAAATGCCACTGAAGGTGTCTCCAGTCCCCACAGTGACAGACATCAAACCCCACACATATGCCTCTGGGAGCACTAAGGAAATCCCTGTCCTCCTCTTTCTTAAGCTTGATTAAAACTCGTTGGAAAACTGAGTAAATCCATATTTGTACCAAACCCAAGCTGCTTTAAAGAACGAGCTCCTCTCCTGGGCAGCAGCTGGGCAGTGACAGCCCTGCCTGCAGGAAGGCCAGGCAGTGCCATCTTCTGCTCTCTGCAGCCACCTCTGGCACCACCTGGCCTCTCCAGCAGAAGATATGGTGGTATTTTACACATTTCATAAAGAAAACACCAAGTACAATAGACTACCAAGAACCACATTTCTCTCCATTTTCTGCCTCTAAAAAAAAAACACCTCGTTTTAGTAAACTGCAAGGTGGTAGTACTCTCAATTCTAATGGGAGGACAGAGACCTGGAATGCCAAACACATTCTTAGCTACAGAAACTGCTTTGCTCTATCAGCTATAGAGACAAAGTAGTTCTGTTACCTGAAAATAAGGAGAAATTATTCATTTTACAAGACTCCTGCTTTGTTGTTCTGTCTAGAAATGGAGAGGTGAAAGTAAAAAGGAAAAGGCATTAGAACCCCTATTAAATTCACAACAATTAAACAGCTTTCATTAATTCTTGTGGCTTTTCAGCTGCAATCACTGCTAATTAATAATAAGCTGTTAAAACTATTAAATGTCATTACCTTGTTCTGGGCTTATGTTTTCTTAAAAAACAATAAAAACACTGTAATCTCAGTTTAGTACAGTAGTGCAGTTATATTTTTTGAAGTTCTGATATCAGAAATATGAGTTCAAATTTCATGCTTATTTTTTTCAGCTTCAAATGGCATAAAGTGCATCCAGCATACTTCCATGCCCAATAATAACTGATTTCCTTTGATCCTAGATATTAATGAAATTACTTATAATATACTTTGTGTGCTTAAATAACCAAGAATAAAAACCAGTAACAATCCTCTTGCACTGGCCAACAGGAGCACTCAGGTTAGGCTTGCATCCTGGCTGTGTTTTTGTCAGAATGTGAAGTCTGTAAATGTAAAAGATATGGCTCTTATTAGAAACTTCAAAAAATGTTTGCTATTTAAAACCTCCATTATTTATTAAAAGCAGGAATGATACAATACATATAACACACTGAAAACTTCATCTCAGAAACAGCTAAGCCAAATCCTTTAGGTAATACGGAAATGGAGAAGTACCTCTGTTTCAACTGATCTCAGACAAATTTGTTCAAAACCAACATCTATCAGACAAGACAGATGTTTTAGACCTCATGAAGATTTCTTCTTGTTGTTTTAGTCACATGAGAGCACACAGAGCAATCATACTACCTCACTGAGAAAATCAGAGACTCTTTGCAACTGGATCTACTATCAGACTTTGTAGTTGCTATTCCCTCAGCTTGTAAAATTAAAGATGTATATAATGCACACATACATTATTATTTCCATACATGCATGAAAATAATAAACAGATTTTGAGCTGTATGCAGAAGTGGTGAGGTATCTATCCATGCCTTTGGCTGAAACTGTAGGATAAGCTATACCACAATGGAATTTTCCGACATTTCTCCCTGACAAGTGCAGATCCCTGGGAACAGCTACAGGACTTCAACACCAACTCAACTTTTTTCATAACTAAATGAAATGCTTCTGTGCAAACTTTCTAAATAAAGGTAATTTTCTATTACTGCACTCTCAGTGATGCTCATGATTAAGCAACAAAACACATAATGCAAAATTCATGTGCCTAGTCCTAAACTTGAGAAAGAATATAGTTAATGTGACCGTGCTTCTGCAGCAGCCTCCATCACTATACTCCTTAGCATATATTCCCTGTCACTACACTTGTTTACATAACAGAGTACTCAGGAAAAAACTGAGTTTTGAGCAAAAAACCAACTTGGCTCTACAAACTGGGAAAAAACCTCCAGAGCTCCACAGAAACTGCTGAGGACCATCTTGGTCATCATCTTTTTCATAACCAGTTTCTTCTTCAGAGCTAGCACTGCTGAGGAACCTACCTGCTGGGTAGCCAAGTCTGAATGTGACTGTTCCCACTGCAAAGTTGTACAAAATTAACACACTCCTCACAGAGTAACTATTTCCTCCCTTATATTTACGGTTGCTTCAACATCACTGTCAGTACTTGATGATACACAGCAGTGGTATCTGTTATGAGAGACTTTCTTCTGGTCTTGGAAAGTTTTTCGAGCAAACTGCTGAGGAGATACCAGCACTCAAGATCTCTATGCCAAAACCCTGCTGTCAAACATTGGGTTTTTACATTGCATAACTACAGTCAGTGGGCATCACATGGAAGTTTCAGCCCAAATACGGTAGGCATGGTCAGAACAGCTCACCAGGGAGGTGTTTATGTGAGGGAGAGTGGTTTGAACTGCAGAGTCCAAGTAAAAGCCTGGACTTTGACTATGCATCAGAGGCATTTAAATGCCTCTTCCTGCTCCTGCTTCAGAGATTGAAAGGCTTAACAGGACTCTAAGGTATTAGAAGTTACAACATCAACACAAGCTCAACACTTCAGCTGCACCAGCACCTCCAGCCCAACAGCTGCCCTCTCTTTAGCTCTGCCTTGCTAAGCTTTCTGATGCCACAGCTGTGCTCCCACTGACTTGTCCTGCTAATTTCTGGCATGGCTGCCTCCATCCACAGTACCACGGAGGAAGATATTAATCCCTACTCTCTCTACAGCAACCTCAATAAAATACCATTTTCTGCTGCAGTGCCCCCACTGTGGCTCTAGTTATACCATGCATTAGCTGAGTTCCAAGCAACTCCCCTCCCCTGAACACCTTTCTGTCTCGTCTCAGCTCAAGAGCTATTCAAGACACATCTTTTCTCATGCCTACAGTTCACAGCACCTTCAGAACACAACACAAATTGATAGAAAGGTACTGAATTGTTTTGAACCACCAAAAAAAAAAAAAATTCAAATTAATAGCACAAGAGATAATTATAAATTTTCCCTTTCTTTTTTGTATTTTCACTGGCAAAATCCATATTTCTAAATATTTATGGAAGCCTTGCCCAAAACTTCATCAGAAACAAACCTACGTGTGTTCAGTGCTGTAAAGAGTGTTTTGAAGACACGGTGTGAGACTCTGAACTCACTGAACTCTGTGGTAAAGTTCGTAACCTTTTTTTGAAACTCCCATAATAGCTTAAAAAATAAATAAAAAAAAAAAAAGAGGGATCCAAAAAAGGACATTCTCCACCCATTCCTAGATGTTCAAAGAAGCTTATGATGCACACACATTTTGTACTTCTCAACAATATACTATTTCATTCAAAGTCTTCTGCATCTCAGGCAGCTCCGTGACCAGTTTGGTCAAACAATATCAAAAGAAAATTAAACCAGAATCATTAAATTGACAACGGC